TCACACACTTGTTTTAAAACATTATGCAATCAGTGTAGAATAATCTAGTCCAGGTTTGAAGTCTTTTAGTTTTTAAACTAGAGCGGATTAAAGATGCTCAAGGTAGTGAAAACAGGTTTCCTGAAAACTTCAGAGTTTTTTTTCTCATAAATTTACAAGTTTTTTTCTTGTAAATTTCTGACTTTACCATGTCAGAAAATATCTAGTTTAAATGTCCCAAATTTCTGCCTTTAATTATGGAAATTTTTGAGTTTTTTTTCTCGCAAATTTGCGACTTTTCAAAATAAGAGAATTTCCTGTTTTTTTTTCCTCGAAAATTTCTGAAATTAATCTCAGAAATTCTGGGTTTTCTCTCAGAGATTTGCTCCTTTTTTTCCATCGGTGAAGTGGCCCTAATGCGGTGTCGTAAAAACACATTTGAAGGTAAGTTTTTAAAAGAATTGTAAGATTGTCCTGTACGTCTGTATATACCTGCAAAATGGGGTAAAATCCATCCAAGTTGACAACATGTATGTAAACCTTTCAGTACGGTGATGATGAGGCTCTCTTACTTTCCACACTCACCTTTCTTCTGCGGAGCTTCAGAGAAGCCATAGCCTGGTATAGAAGGACACACCAGCTCAAACACAAGGTCCTGTGGGTCTGCTGGTTCTGTCAGGAGAGGAATCATCCCGTAGAACTCGTAGAAAGAGCCGGGCCAGCCATGAACCATTATCAAGGGTACAGCATTAGTCCCCTCAGGCACCTGCTTGGGCTTCACATGAAGGTAGTGGACATCAATGCCTGGACAGAAGGTCAACAACAGGAAGAGTTCAGAAACAACTGGTATCTTCAGTGATGAGGCAGCTGTGGAGTCCCACCTTCAATGTTGGTTTTAAAGTGAGGGTACTGGTTGAGTTTGTCCACCTGTCTCCTCCAGTCAAAATCGTTTCTCCAGTAAGAGACCACTGTCTGCAGGCAGTGGGAGTTGAAGCCGTAATGGAACTGGCTGTCCTCCAGTGAGGAGACCGGTCGAGTCTGGTCTATTCTCCGGTGCAGGTCCTGACAGGAGGTGGGGAACAGAAGAGACGTTGGTCAGGCAGTCAGGACAACCATGCTGTGGGACAAACAGGAAGTAACCCAACCTCCAGCTCCTCCTCACTGGTGGTCACTTTGAAAGGTCGGATGGTGACGTCCTCCTGGGCATCAGGAGGGGCTCCAGCCCCCCACCAGCCATCCTCTGTCCTCAGAACCTGGTTCCTGTTCTTCTGAACCAGGAAGATAATCAGTCCACCCAGCAGCACAGCAACGAGCAGCACAACCAACATGATGTGTCTGTGCAGGGACAGAGACAGCTCAGAGAGGACATCAGGAAATATTAGAATCTGTCCCATGAGCCGAGGCTGACACTGGTTTTACTCATGGTTCTGTTTCTGTTAGCAAAATATCTCATGAAACACATGACGACTTTTAATTAACCTGAAGGTGACTGCCACGTCCACTTGACCTTAAAAAACTTAGTGCATCATATTCAGTCAGTTTTATAGACAGTTTCATCCACAACATGTGAACTCACATAAAACTCAGAGAGCAGACTTTAAAATACTGTTATTAGTTTATAAATAACTTTAACTGCTTAGCACCACGATACATTAAAGATGTACAGTATGTACAATGAGAATAAAGGTCGATCTTATCTTAAAGATTCACTGCTGTTGTTGTATCAACCAGGTTCTGGTTGTGGTCTGCTCTGCATCCCCAGAACCAGAACCAGAACCAACCACAGGGAAGCAGCATTCAGCTTCTATGCACCGCAAATCAAAAATAAATAAATGATGTAAGATCTAAATTTGGTGATATTACATGTGGAGTTCCACAAGGCTCTGTGCTTGGACCAAAGTTGTTTCTCTTATAAATGATCTGGTAAATGTGTCGGGGTTGTTTAAATGTGTCTTGTTCACAGATGATACCACTTTTTTTTGTTCGGGCAAAGGTTTAGTACAGATGTTCAGGGTGATTCAGACAGAATTTGTAAAAATACAAACTTGGTTTAAACTTAACAAATTATCACTAAATTTGGACAAAACCAACTACATGATATGATTTGATACATGATATTTTTGATAATCAGTGATAGAAAAAGAACGGTTGATGTTTTATTTGAAGTCGATGTTGTTGAGATCTGTAAAGTTAGTGAAGTAAAGTTTTTAGGTGTTATTATTGATGAAAACCTGACCTGGAAACATCATATTAATTACTTAAGAACAAAAATAACTAAATCTGTTGTAGTACTACATGAGGTAAAGGAGTTGTTTAAAGATAAAGCATTATTTATATTATATAACACAATAATTATTCCACATTTGATTTATTGTGTTTAAATTTGGTGTAACCGGGTGGTTTTGTTGGAAGGGTATCTTTGTGGTCGCTGTGATTTCCCACCCGGGGTGGGGTTCGTGAATGCATCTTTTGCCCCTCCTTCYGCTTTCTGGTGGCGGTACTGCCGGGCTAATTGGTATTTAGGCTCCTGGTGCGCACGCCAGGTTTTTCATACACAAAGGGCGTCGGCTGGTGATCGGACGCTTTACGCGTGGCGGCAGGCAGGTCGGCAGTTTTGCTGGGTGAGCGCTGGCATCTTGATCCTCAGGTTTTTGCAACCGGTCAGGTTTCAGAAGGACGGTTTTTGAGGATATGTGGCATTGGAGCTGTTAATCCACCTGTTTGGGGGGGGCTGTGACTGATCACTAAGGTACATGTCTGTTCTTTTATTTTTTTGGATCTTTATTGGGTTGTATTGTAAACAGGCATTGTTACTAATTGTCATTTTGTCTGCAGCAGATTGCTCCTGCTGCAATATTGTGCTCTCACCTTTTTGTATGAATTTTTTTTGTAAACTTTCATGGTTCCTCACTGCTCTCATGTAGCTGTGTAATTATTATTATTCTGATTTCAAGTGTGTGCCTTGTGCTGCTAAGATTTAGAAGAATTACTTTAGAACCAGCACGTGTCACTTTAGAACCAGCACTTTAGAAACCAGCACATGGCACTTTAGAACTAGCACTTTAGAACTGTTGCAGTTCCATCCAATCAGAACTACCTCTCCATTGTAATATTTTGTGATCATGTCTAGCTATTTTTTTWA